CTAATATACCATCATTAGTTCTCTTTTAAAAATTTTTTCTTAATACAAGCTCAGAAAAAAAAATTCGAAATTTCTATATCCATTTCGTCGAATTAGATAGAATATTCTAGCAAGCTTATATAAAGATAGAAAAATTTTATTTGCTTTATTTTGGACTTTTTTTTAATTATAATTAATTATCGAAGAAAAATTTCTTAAAAATCAAATGAATTTTTTTCGTATAAATCATGAATTAAATTTAAAAATCTTTATCGATTCTTTTAAGAAATATATAAAAAAGATCATTTCTCTTGAAATTTAAAAATATCGAAATATTTATAAGAGAAAGAAATCTAATAATTCATATAATCTAATGCTCTCCATCGAATTAAGAAAAAAAATAAAATTATCATTAATACGACCGCATCATAAAATACAAGCGAAATACACAGTCAAATAGTCTTTTTTATATTTTTTTAGAAATTAAAGATACATTTATAATATTTTTAATATGTCCCTTAAATATTACATTAAAATTTTCCATGAAAAATCGATTATAAATTACAATATATAAAATATCTATTATTAATATAATTCAAACTATTCAAAAAACATGAGATAATTTTCAATATCTCTATTAATGTTTTTAAATGCATTGAATAACTTATACATGTTAAAGCCATCTATATCTACGATGAATTTTTATAGACAGAAAGAAAATTTCACGATAACAAGATCTTTTGCACGCAAGACTTTCAGTGTTCTTGCACTATGAAACAATACATGCTTTGAAAGGTTTGGACATAGAATCTCAAGCAATGGCAGGACAGTTTTACGATAAATAAAAATATGGATTCATATTTGATGCTGGAATTAAAGCAAAAAGTACGACCAGCAAGGTTATTGGCTAAGCTTCTTTCTTCCTGTCTAGCAGCATCATAAAAGCCATTCAAAGACAATTATTGTTCAGCTGCTCCGGCCTCGCTGGAGTGGATGTCGAAACTCTGCTTCGATGTGTGCTTCCCGCAGTTTCACGCATGTTTTGGGGTTCGAGCCGTCTTCCCACCACAACCCCCTGCAGTTCCATCACAAATGGCTCCTGCTATTGTCGTGCGATTTTGAGTGCGATTCGAGTGTTCGCTTCCGAAACAATTTTTGTAGTGGTGTTTTACTGAAAAATGCTGTCCTGACCTTGTTTCCACGAAGCAACACCTCCACTTCAGGGCTGGCATGCTCCAACAAATAGTTGCGGCCTCAGTTCGCTTTGATCGAGACAAGGTACACCCAAAACGAAACTGTGCAGCTCAAGAAATAAAGCTGAGGCATTTGCCATGACCCGCGTCGGGATCGGCCCCCATCTCCAGGAGCTTCGCAGTGCCCGCAAAGCAGCCTGCAAGGTTTCAGCTATCGAAACTTTGATATGTATTGTGGAGGGGGTTTGGGATTTCGCAGCTTTGAGTTTCAGTGAGCTACGTGTAAACCGCCAAACGTTTTGGAACCGCTGGCATGTAGGTTCGATCTGAGGCTGGGTCTTGGTTGGTGGAATGAACTTTCAAACATGTCGCGCGCAGACTTCGCTCGAGCACATGCCTGCAGAAACGGCGCGATCAAGGGCCTCAGGCCAACAGTTGAAAGCAACTAACACTTTCTCGAAAATGTACATGCATGTTCTTGTGAAAACTCAACAGGGTCACCGTTGCTACTTGATTCATGATGCTACTACTGACTTGAAAGGCACAACATGTCGGTGAGAAACACGTGCTGAAGCGAGCATCCAAGCAAATCAAACGAAGGTCTGGGCTTTTTTGCACAAGCGAAGAGCGACGCTCTGGACAGACCATAAAAAGCCACGAAACTCTGCTTGCACATCGTCGCAGACGTGGGAAAAGGCTTCAAGGTTCAAGCTTGGAGCTGGTTTTTATCAGTTCCGTGTCAAAACCGCATGCCGATTCTGCATTGCTTTCGAGCTGCTTGTCTCGAAATGTTGGTCTTCCGGACACAAATCAAGTTCGTTCGCCCTGCACTGCAATGCCTCTGGGGCTCTTGCGGTGCTGCCAAAGCGAGGATCGGGAGCATCCAGCTCTGCCCGTGCCTGTCGCTCATCCAAAAGATGACATGATAGACGGACGCATCTCGTCTATTACTGTCGAAGAGAAGGTTCCGGAAGAGTTACAGAGCAGACAGAATGCAAGCTCCAATAAGGCACTTTTCACTTGATTCAAGTTGTCCTTCCTGCAGGCCCAAACAGCAATTGCTTTCAGCCGCAAGGCATTGGCAGTGCATGCGGATCCTGATGGCCATAAATGTTGTCAGCAAGGCAAGGGTCACGAAAAGGCCATGCTCAGGGAAACTCAGGATCCTCAAACCGACTTGGAGCCGCCTCGACCAACGGCTGTAGCAAGCGAGCTTGGCACCTGGCGGTCGGTTCAATGTGTGGCAAGCCGTTCATTCCGAAGCGAAAGACCTACCCGTGAGTGCGGATTTCTCTCGGCAGAAGTCAGGTCACCTGACACATGAACCCCAATCGCTGCAACTGGGATCCTGACCACATGAATAACTCGGATGCGGTGCCAAAAGCTTGTAAGTCAATCAGGTGGCCAAAACAGCTACCTCCCCAAAACTTTCAGAACATACCGCTATCGTGGCGTCTAGTGCTCGGCGTGTATTTCTCGGAGATGAAGATATTTTTTGACACGTGTTCTTTATCGAGCGTTAAAACGATGAGATGCTTCGGCCACCAAAGCCACCAACACATGATCACGAGGTACTAAACCCACGCAAATGGTGAATGGATCCCAAAGGCCGATTTCGGTTAGTTGGATGGAATCTCAGTTGCTTCAGCCCTGCATGTGTCTTTTTCTGCATGAATACATGCACGCAAATATAATCCATGAAAACAGTGTCTCGGCTCTACGATGAATAATGTGCCGTCTGGAAACCTGGTGTTCCTCTGAGAGGTTTGTTCGGGGCGATTTGTCGGCAAGGAGATTCTCTGTTCAGGTCTGTAGCACGCATGAACGATGACCATGGACATGGTTGCTCTACATGGCAGCACATGGCAGCCCAGAAATCGCGATTATGTACTGCGCAACACTGCAGCTGATGAGTATGTTCGTCGTGGAACGACTGTACTTACTTGTCCTGACTACATCACAACAACAACCACTCGCTGCAGCCTGTGTTCTCTGGTACGAAAGCAGCCAACTTTCAGAGCCTGGAAAAGCTCAGCTGCTGCGTCGGATGTCTTGGTTTATGCCTGAGTTCTGGATGGCTATGGTACAAATAGTTTGTAGTCGCCAGTGCCCGGACCTGGACACCATGGACTAGATAGTCCAGGAGACTTGATAAAACCTTGGGACGCACGCTCAGGGGAGCTGTCAGGATGCATCGCCACACCAACAGCTTGAAGACGATGTCACGCCCTACCAGACCTTGCTTAACGCTGCTCTTGCTGCGCAATGGAGTGATCCACCTGATTGGCATCAGTGCTGTGCTTTGCTCTGACGTGGTTCTGAACAGCACGCTGGAGTCCCGACAGCTTGTGTTAGCGCAACACAAGTGGCACCATCCGTTGCCATAGAGGCATCCACTCTCCCTGCACCGCCTTGCGTGCTGGGAGAGCACAACAGAAGCGGGGCAGATCAGGCTGCGGAGGCACTGGACAGGATCGACAGTGGGAATGAATGGATGCCAGCCACGCGAGGCCGACACCAGGGATGTTGGGGAACCAGAGGACCATGGTGCCAGATCCAGGAGCCCTAGTAGGGGACCTCCACCGCCGTATTCTTTCAAAGGTAGGCAAGGCACTCCAAACATCCCGCCGCAAAGATGACGAGGAAGTCTTTTCCAACATCCCGGACGCCTGGACTTTTGGGGGGGAAGACCCGGAATGTACCCGGAAGGCTCCAGCCTCGTCTTCACAGCTGCATTCGACTGAGCTTCCTGCAAAGCCAGCTGTGGCCCAAAAACCACAGGGACTCCGTCTGTGTGGGGTGTCGAAGCCTTGTTCGTTGGCAAGAAGGATGGGCGATTGCGGCTGGTTCTTGATGGTCTTCGTAGCAACCAGTGGTTTTCGCCTGACAAGGTGGACATGTGTACCACAGCAGCATTAAGCCGAATCGGCCTTCAGGCTCAAAAGGCCTCTTTATCGCAACGGCGGACCTTAAAGATGCTTTCTACCACTTCCAATTGCCCGAGGCCCTACGTCCCTACTTTCGTATGCGACGTGTCAGCGCAGGACCACTGGGAGTCGAGAGTCTAAAAGGTCGTCGTTTGAAGGCATCAGATTTTCATTATCCGCGTTTGAATGTCTTAATTGGGTGGTGTCACGCCTTGTGGTGGTGTCACGGCCTCAAATTGCCTGCAGGACAAGGCCGCTGCACCGCCGCCGGGGGGTATGCATCTTGAATACGTGGATAACTTCGTAGTCCTGGAAATCAGTCAGTCGCAGGTTCTAGAGCTCTCGGCTGCTGGTGTGCAAGACCACAAAAGGAGACCGCATCTGGTAGTATAAAAGTGTTGGGGTGACAGTTGTCTTGGCCATGCGACGGTTACTCGAGGTTGGATGCAGCAGTGAACTTCAACTCGAGAAGGTCCTCGGTCATGCTACCTTCATTAGCCGCAGTGATCTTGGCGGTGTTTGGGGAAAGGAAAGCTACACTTTCGTGCGCAGGTATTACCACAATCCACTTCGTCTTTATGGCTCTGTTCACCGGGAACTTGAAGTGTGGTGGTGTGGTGTGGACTGGCCTCGCTCATTCGGCGAGGCCTCTCATTGCCCTGGGCCTCCGAGCTGTTAGCTGTCGCTTCAACCTGGGGCCTGGGAGCTGTTACTGAGGAAGTCCGCAGGCTCGGTCGTTATTCAGAGCGGTGGAGGTTTGAGCTTGACGAGTTCAAGTTGCCGAGAGCCTCAGCCTTTGCAACATGTCAACGGCGAGGGCCGCCAACAGGCACGACCTTGTCTTGTCGTTGTCGAGGGTAAGGTTACCTCTGACAGATTCGTGCCCGTGATGTTCGAAGCTGTGAATAAAACCTGGAAGGTCGTCGGCCGCTACAAATGAAGCGGCAGGAGGGTATGCCAGTCCTCGAGGCGAGAGCGTCGCTTCATGCAAATAAGCATGTGCTGAGAAGTGAGTTCAACTTTCACAAGCGACATTTGATATTATCCGATTCTACCTCTTCCATTTGTGCTCTTGGCCGTGGTAGCGGGGGCCCAGCGGGGTGGATTTGGCATGCGACGTTGACGATGCTTCTGGAGATCGAACTTCGCAAATGCATGGAAACAGATTCAGATCAGTCGGCGGTGTGGGTATCGGCATAGACCTACCTACGCCAATACCAGATTCAGAGGAGCCCGCTGCCCAGAAGCTTGCAGCTATGCTCAAACACTTACATTGAAGCTCGGCAACAAGGGCTACTACTGCTGTGGCAACGCAGTGCTACGAAGCCTGCTGCATGTTGCGAGCTGGATGGGTGGATTGGGCTGCTCGCTTGAAGGAAGCATGCTGCGGTTTCCTTCCAAGGTTGAAACCATGGGCCCCAAGTATGGGCCCCTAATCCTGGGTTCCCTATGTACCGAATATATACCCTGTTCCCTCTAAAACGCCAGGGTCCATGCTAGGGCCCATGCTTCTAACCTTAGATTGCTGTGCGCCAAATCTGTTCTGGCGAGCACAGATGGGGAGCTGAAGATATCCGGCCAGGCAGCATGATGCGGCAGAGTTCGTTCAGCATGTCTTGACAAAGTTGCCCTTTACAGTGGATAAGCTGGAGGCTAGCGATTTCATGGCAAGGCAGGGAATCCAATCCTGAGCGATGGAGGATCACTGACAGTGGGTAATCGGCTCCTGTCCGGATTCAGCCTTTGGAGTTGGCGGGCGGGGGTCCATTGATGCAAACAGAACTCTTCAGGGCATGGTAGCTGTCTGTCACCAACAGCGTGCCATCCATGCTGCTGTGTTTGGGCCCTCTGCTCTTGTAGTTCAAGCTGGTTGTTATGATTATGACGTGAACAGGACCCATGCTGTAGGCTGCTGCCTGATGCTTTCATTGAGGTCCCGGCGTTCATGCAGGAACTTTGTTCGCGCAAGATTTTGTACCAGCTTAATTCGGTTAGCATACATGCAGGGGACTCCCCAGAAAGCGGCCACTACTTTAATTTGTTTTATGATGTTGGCTTCAGGTTGGGTTGGCTGATGGTCGGGCACTCGACGTGGTTAATGGTTCTGATACTGATGGCCTGAGTTCTGACAGGTACTTACCTTGCTTTCCACATTTGATTCCGCTAGGACTCTGCATATGGGCATTCGTACCGGGAGACGCGTGCTTTGTCCGCAGAGGATGTGTCTGAAACACGCACAGCTGGGACGAGCAGAATGCTTGTCCTCCATTATGTTCGCCGAAGTCGGAACTTCTACAACGAGGAAGGTGAAGCGAATATATGAATAAACATTCCAGAACCTTGCCAATGTAAACAAACGCCACCAGCGTGTGATGTTCTGAAAACTTTCAGGCCGGATCTTGAATGGAAAGGGGCCCTCTGTAGCAAGACTCATGCCTCGAACGATGAGTCCGCATCTCTGCTTGCACTACGCCCTTCTGCACCTGCTGGCCGCTGTGCGGAGAAGCGGATTTGCATTCAACCGCGTCGGCCTCGCACAGGCAGGTATCAAGCTCAGAAGGAATCCGGCCACCTTCTGCCTTCTCATCTCAATCGCTTGGTAAAGTGCAAAGCAGGCTCGGAGCCTTCCTGTCGTCGCGGCCAAGCCCTCCTGGACGGATGTCTGAACCCATCGGTTGCCAAGCTATGTAGGGCCTCAACTCCAAAGCCCATTCTTGCGAGATCTTCCTTGCTAGCCTTGCTGCCCAGACCTTGCTTCGGCTCTGCTTAGACCTTCGAGGCTGGCTTGTGCTTAGCCCAGCGGCAGCGGAGCCCAGCAGTCCTCCAACAAGAATAGCGCTGCTCGCTCGTCTGGGTTCTCCTGCAGCACAACTTGTGAATAACGCACAGGATCTTCATCAATACTAATCTGTTCAGGGGGTTGATGGTATCATGGACTGCTAGTACTCCCGGAGTGGCTTGATATCTGCCACAAAAATAAACGGCAATCCAGCACGAATCATCCTGAACCCATGTTCCAACTTTATGGCTTCTACTGTACCATCAAGCACAGAAGATGACCGATCAGCCGATCGTCGAAGGTCCAGTCTGGTTCGGGGTTAAGTTCAACAATGAAAAGGTTAGTTCATGATGCCGTGTGCTACCGGATGCCGTTTCGCTCACCCAAGACAGTCGGCCAAGCATCTGGGCATCTCGCCACATAGGACTGTGTCAGATATCGGTTCTCAAGATGGCACACGAAGAACGACATGTTGACGTTCTTCGTCATGTATCGAGAAACAACTCTTGGAAATGAAATAAGCCTCTGTACCAGATCGCAAGAAGCTCTACGATATTCATCAAAACACGCAGCATACGTAGGCCTACAAGAGACCCTCGAACAGTAGCAGCAGGAAGCCGAGGCTGCAAACTTCCATCAATATTCCCGGAGCACTTCGCTGAATCCTTTTCTTTCTTCAAGCCGGCTCGTATCCTTGCCCACGGGCTTTCAGAATACATGCAAGTTGTTCTGAAGCCTGTAATTGGAGTTGTATATCAGGTTCTGATTGCACCATCTTCGCGATTTGCGCTTCAGAAGCTGACGTGTACAAGGCAGGTCGCATGGCATGACAGCGTGCCGGCATCAGGATCTTTCCAAAGCTCATCCAAGATCCTTGGAGGTAAGATTTGGGGAACCACCCGCAAACCGAAGCTTAGCATTCTATGTGCAGATCCTTCGATGCACCTGTGAATCTTCCCCTAGCTTTTGCATGCTAACGGGAGAAAGTGCGAGGCCAGGAATCTCCAGTCAAGACTCGCAAACATGCCGATTGTGGCCGACCATGGTCACAACCGAAGTTAAGGCATGCGCATGTGAGGATTCGTGCAGGAAACCAATGCACTAAGTTGAATGCTGCCTGGCTGCGCAAGCTGGGTGTGACTCGGAGAGCTCCAGCTGCGCAGGGCGTCCAGCACGCTCGGCACGGGCGGAGTACACCGACAGGACCCCTGCCACATAAAGGTGTCTCTCCGAAAGAAAGAAGAACACGTTTGGGCTTGCTCGCGAAAGCACCAAGCAAGTAGGAACGGAGGCCGTGGGAAGAAAGCTCAGAGCCAACGATTGCAAACTGCGGGCAAAAAGACCAAACCGTTGCGCAGGTGGATTGCTACAGAACACTTGCTATCCTGAACCCTTGACAGCAGCGACGCGGCCTGAAATGCCAAGCAAAGACACATACCTTGATGTGCAGAACTGCTCAGGATTTGACGCTACACGGGTTGCTGGTTTTGGTGTATATATCATTTGGCCTCCAAGTTCTTCAGACTCTGGACTACACATGCCTCTGAAGCCCAGTTCGAGTCTCCATATCATCATTTTTTGCCAGCATGTGACAAGGTGTGTCAACAAAGAAGCTGCAAAGGTTGGTAAAGGATGACCCTGCCTCTGCCTCGCAGACGCGATTGCTAACTGCAAGAGCCACACTTCACCTCTCCATCGAACTCTTGGTAATCTCGGAACGGTGGAACTTTGATCCTAGGGCAAGCCCTTGAAGAAACCATCCGCCCAGAGACCACGGCGCGGAAGCAGCGAAGCCAATTGCGAAGGCACGGCTCCGCGGCAGGTCCGGGAACCTGGCTGCACGGAAGCATCTTTGGGGCTCCGAAAGGCTCACAGAACAGCACGTATGCCTAGACAGCTATGCATCTCAAGCAGGTGGTCTCGGACATGAGCTTCGGAGACGTCGCAAGTTTCAGAAGAGTGGCCTGTCAGTGAGCAAAGCCACGGCAGCCTCCGGCATCACTTCAGAGCTCCAATGTGTTTGGGATCCTGTAATCAAAACGTCGGGAATCGAGCCCCTGCAGTTTGATTTCACACGTGTGGAGATCGGTGTCGCGCATTTCTCACAAACCATAGGTTGAATCACCGGAGTAGCGGGTGAAAGAAGATGCACAGCGTGGTGACATACCTAGACATCTTCACTGAAGTTTCCGGAGCTTGCGATTTTAGGCGAGACTTTGCCACTTCTGCCAAGCGACACCACGAAGCACCTTTCGGGAGCAAATCTTCTTTCACAGAAGCGACACTGCCGCTTTCGCAACGCAGCAATCCCTCGAATGATAGGCGATCGTGCAGTTGTTGCTGCTTCGGGCTGTCCAAGGTACACCAAGAAATGCTCCGAAACCTCCAAAGAAAGCTCCTTCAAGTGGACTTCGAGTTGCTTGGGCTCGCAAGATCATGCAAGTGCTAGGTGCGAAAGGCTTGTGCAAGGAAAGCCTCGACTGGAAGCAGACTGCGAGCGAGGCCATTTACTGCATGCTCTTCAAGCTGTCCGGGTCCTGTGATGGCGGGTGCACCAGGCTCAGCGGCATCCTTCCATTGGCAGTGCACGGGACACTCAGCCCACAAGAAACCCAGCTTGACTGGCTTCGGCATATCGGGGACCCGTCGCCGAACTCGGAACTTCACCTTGCGGATATGCGCCACTCGCCTGTGCCCTGAGACGCTACAGTCCGAATGTGCACTCTGCTAGTGTGAATGCTGTGCAGCTTTCCCAGACTTGAAGTATCCAGCACTCGAGGAAAGGGAAGCCCAAGCCAATAAGCCCTCACCGAGGTACGGGAAGAAGGCGTCCCATCCAAGGCTCCGGTGGCGGCACGGTGCTGCGAGGCGCCTTGGGTGCCTGGCTTCAAGTCTCAAAGTCAAAGCCCATCATCGGATTTTTGGAGCTTTGTCAAAGCCTTGCGATTTTAGTCCTTGGCTACGGTGCTTGTGCTGTCAGTGTCCAATTCAGGATTCCACTGATGTTCAAACATCTCGCGACCCTCAGAAGTTTTGTTCTCGCTCCGGTGGGTCTTCCAGCAAAAGTCGGCTTCCTGTTTCTGTTGAAACCGGCAGAAGAACTCGTGTCGTGTCGTGGTGGTACTCGAATGTGCTATGATTCCCTGCAGCTCTAACAAGTCCAAGTATGTTTGCACGGCCTTTGCACCAGCCGGCTCCGGCGCGGACCGCCTCAGAGGCTCCAGTCCCGTGAGAATCAGCGGTGCAGCCAGGTCTGACATGTGAACATGGCTGTTGAAGCGGCATGTGTCATAATTCGTGCAATGTGCCACGACGCTCAAGAGCTTCTTGCCGGTCCTGGGGCGTCCGTGCTGCACTGTGGCGAAGTGAAGCGGAAAGAACAAAACAGAAAAGAGCGGCACTTGCAAGAACGAAGAATCTCAGGAAGAAGCGGAACAAGCTCAGGAAGCAACCAACGCCAAATCACCCGGCGAAATGATGGAAGGATGATTGGTTTCGTTCAAGTGCAAACAGCAGAAATTCGAGGATGACTGCTGTCCAAGTTCGCCTAGCAGACGCCGGAGGCCATCAGTCCCAAACCCGAAACGTAACACACAGCATGCACACACAACTCGACGAAGAATAGATCAAATCTTTCAAAACGTCTATTGAGCAATTTGAAAAAACCATGGTATGGTCTGTGTGTGACCCTTGTCGCTCTTTGGGTTTACGAGTGCTTCTCCCCTTCACGTATGGACATGCGATGTCTGAGTCTAGCCCAGCGGCCGTGAGGATGCTGCCACTGGATCAAAGTCTAAACATTCGCGCACCTGCGGCATAAACGAGGATCCGAACGGCTGTAGCGTGAGCCGACCTAACTAAGGCTATGTGCGAATCCTTGTCACCAAGGATTCCAACTCCTCAGCATCTGGTTCGCCAATGTGCATCTCAGCATGAACATGCCGCACACTTCCTCTGTCCTCTCGCTCTCGCACTCGTTCGCGCTCGCTCCCTCCCTTTCTCTCAGCCCCTGTTCGGGCACTCACTCACTCACTCACTCACTCGCTCGCTCTCTCTCTCTCTCTCTCTCCCTCTCGGTCTCGCCCTCGCTCCCCTCTCGCTGTTCTCTCCCTCTCCATTCAGTTGTGCAGATGGCACAGGATGGGATTAGGTCCCTGTGGTGGCCTCTTGCCATGTCCGCGTCACGCCCATGCTGCGTGAGGCGGGATGGCCGAAGCTATGAACCCAAGACTCCACAAGCTGGTATCCGTGGACTTTAATTCACTGCAACATCCTACACAGTTCCTACGCGGGTGCTCTCAGCTCTTTGGCCAAAACAGCTGCAACAGAACGGAGCGTGCAGTAATGGCATGACAGCAGCCCGAGTTGGACTCGTACAGAGGTGCCGAGAAAAGGGAACACATGCCCCATTTCAGGTTGATGTTTGTGCGACAACAACAAGAGCTTTATTGAAAAGACTCTTGTAGTAATGGCTCCGCCCTAAAGCCTTGCCGTGTCAGCGCTTTCGAATGAGCGGGGTGGGCTCACTTAGCAGCGAAAAACTTTCCGAACAATCCATCATGGCTCTACTTTGTCTTGGATGCCCCTCAAGCCTGGGGCCAAGATGCAAACGGGCGGAGACAACCGAAAGCCCGACTCCTTTAGCGCTCCCCGCCCCTCACCGAGAACAAGACCACACAGTGCCTCGACTGCAGTCCGCAAAGCAACATCCAATGGAGCTCCAGCGAAGCTGGCATCGCTGCGCGGTGCGTCCTCTCGCTGCAGCAGTTTCAGAAGCAGCGACGTGGATCCTGTATGACCAAGGAGATGGCGAGACTCAACAATGAACGATAGTACGCTGAAGTAGCCACAGTTGGGCCACAGCAGCCTTGAGTATATATCGATGGCAAAAAAGAAACAAACATGTGTCACCCGTCAGCCTGGCAGGTCTTAACTGCTGAAGCATGAACTCGAAACAAAATTCTATGCCCGGCTGAGCTTAAAACATGCTCGTGACACATCCTCGTCCCAGCCGACTGCGACACCCGCGTCCGTCAAGCCGTCAATACAAAGGCGGAGAAGTTTCCGGCGAAAGCCGCTCCTACGCTGCAGGAATGAAAGTCGAGAGGAGGAACGTGCCACTAATGGAGCCAGTTTCTTGCCTTCACACATCGGAATTGGACCAAAATGGAATCGATTTGTCGAGGCTTCAAGTGCTTGCATCGCGCCCAGGACCTGAAGCTGTTCAAGCTCAAGCGGCAGCGTAGGTTTCAACAAACCTGCACGGAATCTCTCCTTGCGGAATCGTCCATTAACTGGGAGAGCTGGACGGCAGAGAGCCTTCCGGCAACCACAAAACGAGTTTAGACGCGGACACAGGCACAACACTGATCACCCTCCCTGCAAGCAAACTTGCTGGTTCGTGCACAAACGCGCCCCTTAAAGAAGGGATTTTGGAAAGGGTACTTAAGGGGACTTGCAAACGGACCTCCGGCCACGGAGCTTTGCCAAAGCGGAGGCTTCTGACACGCGGAGCGCGTCGCGAACAGCACCGAACTCATCCTCTGCGAATTTGCTTCGCTGGAGGAGGGTTTTGGTGCTGAGGGATGGAGGGCGGCTTGGTCCAAAAATATCGGGTGGAAGTGCTGATTATTTGGGCTCGCAGGCCGCTTCGGGAACCGCTAAGATGCCAAAAACCCTGCATCATTGGGTTCTCTGCCCAGATTTGCCCACACGCTGATGCCCGACCCTACCTTCGATTCACCATAAAACCATCAGCCTGTGGTTCAACGCTCTGCTTGCCTCGTCTAGCTCACCCTTGGGTGCGATCCGTGGAGTGGCGCTGGCCCTGGGCAGCTGCGCGCGAACCTCGTCTGACCCGACCGTGGATACAGAGATGCTGCCGTTTGGTATTATGGTTGGCTGTATGGTTGTGTTGTTGCAGGGCCATGGGCTGTAGCATTCCAGCAGGGGCCCGCCACTGATTCGACTTCAAGGTCTGGCGTTGATTTTCTTAGCAGCTGTGGAGATGAGAAGGGCCCTCGCCATAAAGCCTCCTACTGGATGTGCTACTTGCTGGTTAGGCAGCATGACACGGCTGCAGTTTATACCGATCGACAGCCAATGAACATGAGCAAAGCGCAAATCCCGGCCTTCGGGCTCAAGCGAGCGAGTAGATAGTCTACCTTGGTCTCAAAAGGTGGAGGAGCACCGTCTTAGACCTTCTTCAGCACTCGGCCATATACATGTTGCCAGGCATTGGCGTCCCTGCTTCACGCTGCGACTGGAGATGTGACCACGGTGCCCCGCGGCCAGCGCCAGGGTCAGCGCCCAACTGCAGGAGCCGAAGGGCGGCACGCTCCTGAAACACCAGAGGGGGCGCGGAACCCTAAAAGAACCCGGAATGCATCTGTGTCGTCCTTCCCAGCATCTGCTGCCCTGTCGAGCGCCGTGGCACCAAAGAGAGGGTCCTGCGCTCTCTTGCGTCTGGGACATGATGTGGAAACTGGTCTCACGTTTGGTCTTCGGGTTTCGGCTTGGATCTTGTCGTCAACTCTGCCCTTCTTAACACCCTTTCGAAACACAAGGCGATTCGCACCATGGGCCATTTCTTGCAATCTCTAAGTTTGGGGTTTAGGGTGGGCGGCGGGTCGCAGAAAGTCTGTGGGCTACAATAACTACAGTATCTGATGCTTCATGCTTCTGGGCTTGTACGAGAAACGATACTCCCTCGATGCTCGGCACCTGAAGCGGCAGATCCCGGACAAGGCTCCTGCTGCGGCGTCTCTCGTGAAAACCACTCGTCAAAAACGGTTAGCAATGAGGTGGATGTTTCTGAAGATGTGTCCTTGGAATTTACGTCTGCGCCACACTCCTTGACCAAGCGAAGAAGGAGCCTCGCAGGGCTTGCGTTTGGTGCGGAGACACCTGCACAAACCTATTCCATTGAGAGCGCACGGTGCATCTGAACAGGGTAGCCTGTCTTTCGAACGTAAGCCTTGCGCACAAAGAACCTGCAGTTGGCTGCGCCCATCCACGACCCTGCCAAATAGGTGGCAGCCATGCGGCTCTGTCATTCCCTGCCCTGCAGCCGCTCTGAAGAGTGGGTTGACGTCCCTAAGTTCATCGCAGGTGCAGACTGTGCAGCAGGGTCGTTGGGAGTCTCCGGGGCAAAAAATTCGATGCTAAGAACGCAGCCTCGAGCACGACTTGGTTGAAGCTAGAAGCCAAAACGTTTAGAGGATCGCACTGTGCACAACCTATCTGCCAGCCACAGCGCTGCAGCCTCGATTTCTCTGCCGGGGCTCAGCTGCGACGTGTCCCCGGAGCCACTGCCTGCAATCCAACTGCGACGGATATTCAGTACCTTCAAAACAACAACGCAAGGTGAGCCTGTAGGCCTGTGCCATAAACATCGCAGCTGTAATCTGCGCTTCTGCAAGAAACTGTAACACATGCCTGACCAAACAAAGCTCTGGAACTTCAAAGGGCGGCTTACCTTGACCCATAGTCAGCAGTGTGAGAGCTGCGCGCTCGCTGCGCGCCTCCTGCTGGCTTGGTGAGCTTCTAGAAACCTTCAAGTGTCTTTGGGCTTCAGCCGATTCAAACGTCTGCAGCACTAACTTGTCGACAACGGTGCTTCAAGGCCTGTGGTGTGGACTTCGTCAGATGTGCAGAACCGTTCAAAATTCTCTGTGAAGGCCTTGATGTATTTGAGGCTTCGGGGCATTCTCCGGGTTGGGTTTCACAAGTTTGGCGGGTGTTGTTGGTCTCTAGATTAAACAGTTCTTCTTTGCAGCAAATCGGGAGCCACTTTTTTGTATGCCTCGACATTTAAAAAAAAGGCCTGAGGCAATGTCGACTGTTGGTGCAGGACACTACCCGGTTGTGTGGGCTCGAGCTTCGGTGCATGCTCTGCTTGGAAGACCAAGGAAAAAGGTGGGCTAGTGTCATACGCACCTTCATCGAAGCAATCCTCTTGATGGGCCTGATTAACCCGAAACCATTAACCTAAAGCCGTACAAGCCGCCTCAAACTCCAACAAGTGCCCAAACTCATTTGAGCCTTCACTGCAGCCTCGAGTGCTGCATCCAGGGCATAGCGCCCAAAGTTCCTCAAGAAGCAAGGAGAAACAAAGCGACAAAGCGAGCCTCTGGGCTACTTTTCGCAAGGCGGAGGTTTCGATATTCCTGCGAAGGCGCCGCAGCCCTGTGGTCCGGCTCTGCATGTTATGGGAAGGCGCCGCAATGCAAAGAAGAGTTTCACGTGCACGCCTCTGTCAGTATTTGCCGTACGGCATGCAACAGCACGGAGGAATCACTTCCCTATTACTGCCTTCTTGCCCGCAGCTTCTTCCACAATGTCCAACTCAATCGATACCAAAAGCATCCTCGATGAGTGTGCGAGCTGTCTGCTACAAGCTTCTGGCTTCCGAATCGCTGCCTGCATCAGGATGCAGAACATGCGGTCTCGGCCGTTCAAACCCTAACTCTTTATGCTTCGCTGCAACGATTCCTGAACATGTCTGCATCTCACGCTTTGCATTTCCACAGGCACCGGCAACGGAGCAAAGATTGACACTGACAATTGAAAGGCTGCAGCGGTACGGCAAACCGCCCCTTGCTGGCAAAGCTCTCGCTGCAGTCGTGCTCCAACGACCAATCTAAAGGGACACCTGGGCTCGTTTCATGAAGTCCCCCAGTGCGGGACGATGATTCACATTGGGACCGGACTAACATGATAACAAGCCAACAGAACAGTATGCCCTCAGCCGTGGTATTCCAAGCTCAGATTGAAGCGCAAAACGCGAAAATGACAATCTTAGTACTGCAAATTTAACTTTCAGCGGAGCCTCCCGGGCCTTAATGTTTTGAACTCAACACATCGAATCCCCCGTGCCTTTGAATTGAAAAGTTCTGCCACTGCATCCGAGCACTGCGGCAGCACTTGCCAGTTCACCCTGCCGTCCGATTTAGCTGAGCTTGCGAATACTGCGCCGACGCCAGGACATCACCAGTTCGAGTGCCACAGCCAAACAATACACTCTTCACCACCGAAACAAGCCAAGCAGCCCAGCTTCGAAAGCTCCTCTGGCAAAAGCGTTGCAAATGCTCCGTGCACCAAGGGGCCGTAGCTGGTCGATCTCATCACAATATCGTTGCAAAACTCGTTGAAGGACAAGTGTCAGGCACAGCAGCTTTGTGTACAGGTTCGGGCAGTCACCAGTCAGCAGATAGAGTAAGGCTTCTTTTGCATGAGCCCAAACCGGGCCGACAACAAAACAACAGATCAGTGAACCGCAGCGTAACCTCCGAAAGCACCGCCACAAGAACAACCAAAAAACACCAGGACGCCAAAATTCTACCACCGAATTTGTGAAAATGCCCCCCATCAGAATGATAGGGGTTGAAATGAAACATCCATTAGAATCGCCCGATACCACGAACAGCCTTGCCCATCTCGCGCAGAAGGGCCGGTTCAGGCTTGCGCGTTCGAGCAGCCTCACAGCAGTTGACACGTTTATAGCACACTGTGTAATATAACCTTCGCATGCTTGGAGTTTAGAAAGCATCTAGCCCAAAGTCACACATTAACGTCGAAAGTGCGGACTGCCTCCACAAGGAGGATTTGTAGCTCCGCACGCCGAAGGGCGCGACTGGGACGGCCACCTGTGGACGCTGCCCAAAGCAGGGTCTATATTTTCGTCACCCAAGTAACGCCCAACGAAATAACATCACGACAGTTTTCTGCCACAGTGATCACGGAGCGACCTCTTGATTATATTTTAAAGGGGGATCAACAGGATTCAGAAGTGGAGCGAAACTTGCTTGCAGCGACAATCATGTGTCGTGTCCAGCAAGTTCAACAAGCCCTTGATGCACTCACACGATCTTTGCTCTTGGGTCCTGTGCCACGGCATAATCGGCAAGTAAAGCACGAATCATGTTGCAACCGAATCCTGGTGTTGGGTTCACGAGGGAGGTGTAGCATCGTCTTCAAGCCGTGGTCCGCAGGATCAGCGAAAGAGCTGAAAATCGCGAGCTACATCCTCAAAGTTTCATGGCCTAAATCAGCGACTTTTCGGCGACCTTGGCCCCAGGTCTCCAGCTTGATGGCAGCTAGCGCGGCATCGCCCTGGCAGGGGCACCCAACAGAACGGCGCCATTGGACTGATGCAACATTTCCGGCCGTTCTCGGGGTCGCACCTGGGTTGGCAAACATTACTTACAAGCCGCTAACCATGGAGCAACACAACCAATAAGAGGACATCACAGATCCGAATCCCATGCTTGCTGTCATGCCTGCTGCTTACGCATTGAAGTGCGCCCACATCTTTGCTCGAAGCCTCCTGGATCAGCTGCCGGAGATTGGAAAAGGCCTCTTGCACCTCATCCATTGCGATTATCATGCCACTTGTGCTTCACTGCATGGTTGCATGTCCACGGGGCGGTGCGCAATCCAAAGGTTCCGGATGCTGAAAGTCAGTTTTTCGAGGTTGAGATTGAAATCTTTCCTGGCAAGATGTGCCTCCGCCTCCCGCCGCTCTGCGGGTGTCTGTGGTGGGGCCGAATACTGCAGTGGCGCCGCTATTGGCCTGCACGACGGGGAAATTCGGTCGCATTCCTGTGGTTATTCCAAGCTTAACGGTGCGAAGAAGAAGATATGGCACTTCGCCAGGACTGACGCAAACCAATCTGCGCCTTGCAACTTGGATCTGGCCTTCGCCTGATCCGTGGAGTTGGTTGGTGCCGCCATCGGCGTTGTGGGGCGGCTAAAGCTGCCTTGGAAATCCGAATCCACGCTTTCGCTTCATTCCGGCACAAAACTACAAACACTGCTGGTGTACTTGGGGGTGCCATCTTCAGCTTTTCCCGTCGTAATCAGGGCAAGTGCACCTGGCAAACTCGAAAGTTAATCGTTCACTTGTCGCCGAGTGACCACAATCAACGCCGCCAGCAAAGCTGTGCCCTCGGGTCCATGTGGGAGCCACGTCCTCAAACGCGTTTTGAAGTGAACTCAACTCGGCGGCGACAAAGTCGCCGATTCTAAATGATGTCCTCGAACTGGAAACAAGTCTACACTTGAATGAATGGTCGCGCTCCAGGCATGGCGTAATGTTCGCAACCTTCTGCCATCAGCCGATGTCCTCCGTCGTCGAAACAAAAAGCGGTGAGCTGCACGCCACGTGTGATGAAAGTTGTGACCTGTCATGTGGGCATTTGCCATTGTAGACGCAGAGAATGAACACGGATTCGGCACAAACATCATAAACGTTCTGCTTTGCTCCCGTCCGAGTCCAAGACTACGGTCCTAAAGGACATGGGGAACGCTAGGGCAAACCTCTGCACGCATAAGATCTGAACAAGCTTTGCAACGTGCGCTATTCTGGCAACGATGCAGCACAATCGATCCAACTATTTTTGTCAAGGTGAGTCGCTGCGAACATGTTTAAATCACCATCCCAACATGTAGCGGGACGTCCAGGCTCTCGGCTCTCCTTCTCATTGAAATCATGCCACCTTTTTTCTGATGGTAACCATTTCGTGGCATGAATGTGAATCGCAAGTTGCGAGGCCAGCTGGAAATTTTTGACTTCGCAGCTGTCGCGTCCAATTGGGTATGGGGTGTTGGCATTAAGCGCAAGAGATCCAAAAGTTCACTCTTTTCGTCGTGACCACCCACTCCTCACCATCCACGCGTCGCTAACCAACAATGGACCGCAGCATACGATGTTGGACAACGTCAAGGTCAGTAAACTGTTTGTCAGTAAGCGGCATTGTTGACAGTCCATACACTACCACCGGAGTGACAACGGCTTGAAACAGCTTCAACCTGTTCTTCAATGGGACATGCTTTTCAGCAAGCTCTACCGATATAAATGAAATTGGTGCCATGCAACACGAATACGGTGTGAAAATTCCATGGCCGCACACGGGTACGGATGTTGATCTTTACCGTGCAAAACCGAAGTCATGTCCTCATGTACATCCAAATACATTGGCGATGCAAGTTACGTCATCGTCAAAATTTGGGTTTCCACGGGTTGACTTGCAAGCCAACTTTCATTAGCAAACAGCTCAAGCAAACCCGGGAATTCCTTAACTGCAAACACCTCGAGACCATGGGTTGTTTGATGTTTACTGGATCATGCGGCAGTTTAACTTCTTGGCCGTGTAAGAAAAATTCCAAACGTTTTCCATTTGTGTTAGACACCACATGACATTTTGCCCGCTTCACAACACCTGGGTGTCTTGAAACACGGCGCAATGCAAGTGAAGCCCTCTGTAGCAAAGTGCCTCCAAACATGTGTGCCGCCACGGCCATCGCAAAGGCGGTGAGGACCATCACCAGCGCCAACCTTGCAAATGCTATAGCAAGTCTGTGGCAACAATGTTTCCATGCACCATCAATGCCGAAGCTTCAGCTCTTTTTCAATTTTCTGCCCCCCTTGGTATTTTCCGAAATTCACGTTCGGTCCCAGTGCACCCTGCGAAGCTACAACTGGCGGGGGGCAGCGTCACAGCAGCAAACTGGTACAAGATTGATGGCATGCAAGAGGACGGGGGCATTCCACATCCTTGGGATCCGCACGGCGCATCGCGGCGCAGCTGGCGGCTGAAACCGGCGAAGCGAACCACCCTCCACGACTTGCTGGTATGTCGTGTCGTCGTGATGGATAAAGAAAATGGCATCGACACTGTTGACAGCACATGTGCATGAATGCATGACAAGCCTTGGCCAAGCATGCGGCCGTTCCGCAAATACCAGAGCTCGTCTGGAAAACAACGGTGGCCTGGACCAGCAGGGCAAGCAGGTTACATGTCCGTGTCTTAATAATTTGTGATCCCCACAAAACAGGCACACCAACGAAGACACCTGCTTGCCACAGCGCTGATCTGTAGAGGCTGCATGGGCAGGTGCAGGTTTCGGCCATGTGTTGTTTCCAACCACACAATTCTACACAAATTACGGTGCAATGCTCCGTGCATGTACCTTTGTCAGCAACATGTGCCGGACTTGATGATGGTGACGCAAAGAGAGACACCAACAAACAAAGGTGCAAACTGTCGGAACACGTGATAGCACCGGTACGTGACAAGTACCAGTCACAAGCAAACTTTTGTCATGATGTCCACAACATGTCTTTACCACTCACATTTTTTCTCACGGCACACGTTGTGCAATCGGTCCCAGCGCACCTGCAGCTTACGTTTCGCCGCGGACCTCGCAGGGAGTCGGTTGAGGGCAGGGGCACGTTTGTCCGGTTCACCACCCTTCTCGGCGCTTGCCGGAAATGCCATCTGGGCACTGTGGCGACGCGGGGCAAGCCGAAGCAGCCTCCTTGCTGCGTCTCTGAGCGCCACACCGAGCAGCCGGCGTCGCGGCACCGCTACGCAGGCAGGCTGGGTGCAGAGGTGGTCCGGAATGCTCGCTGTGGCTGCGATGTGAGGCGTGCGTCGTGCGTGACGCGCCGGAACTACACGAAGTCTTGGTGGGATGCGGGCCAGCTTCCCGTTGACGAGCGGGCGTGGGTAGCAACAGGAACGCGGTTGGAGAGTAACCGTAACCATTTCTGGGGGTCGTAACGGGACTGGGATTTGGCTTCCTGGAGAGAGGAGGCGATCGGGCACCGGAAAGTGGCAAAGGCAAGGGAGCAGCAGAAGCCCCTGCCAGAAGACGCCCTCTAATCGAGGAGCGTGTAGCTCCCCAGGCGAAGACCGGGGCAGAGCGGCCCAGAGAGCCAACTCGCCTGGAAAGGGCAAAGGAAAAGAGGCTCCGAGTGCGGGCCGACCCGCCTCGGCAAGCCGAACGCCGAGCAACCCCGCAAAGGGGAAGAAAGGAGGGAAGGCCGAGGTCAAAGGAGCAGGGAAACCCAGCAAGCCAGCAAGGGCAAGCCTGCAGAAGCAGGGAAGCTGAGCAAGGGCAAGCCGGCGCCCCTGCAGCCAAAGTCCCGGCGAGCGCGCCGGGAGGCCGCCCGCGGCAAGAAGCGCAATCACCGAGGTGGTCGCCCAGAACAGGCCCGCCAAAGCCCAATAGAACGAGGCCAAACGAGGCGCGAACTAGCGGGCACAGATGTGGTCGTCCTTCGAGAAAACCCGGACGCCTCGCCGGAGCCAAAGACTCCTGCGGAGGAAGCCTCCGCGGACGAAAGCGAAGAACCAAAGAACCCAAGCTCCGAGTCCTCGCTGGAAGCCCACCCAGCGCCGTTCTTCACTGGGCCCGTGCCTGGTGAAAACCCAGACTTCGGGAGAGAACACGCCGAAGCAAAGCGGGACCAACCGCCTGCTTCCTCCAAGGCCGCACCGGCGGCGAAGGAAGAAACGGCAGAGCGGGAGGAACCGCCTGCCTCCAAGAGCGCTGCGCCCAAGGCAGCTGAGGAGGCAGAAGCAAAACCAAAAACCTCCGCTAAAGCTGCGGCCAGGGCAACCGAGGAGGCAGAAGCAAAGCCGAAGAGCTCAGCCGAGGCTGCGCCGAAGGCAGCCCAGGCCAAGCACGAAAGCTCTTCAGGCTGCAGCTCCGAAGTGGGAGCACCACAAGCAGCCCCGGTGAGCGGACCCCAAGAAGCCACTCGCCGAAGGTAGTGCAAAAAGCAAAGCCTCCACCGGCGCAGCCTGAGCCGACCTCGCCAGCAGGCGGTGAGTCACTCAAAGGGGACACCGAAAGCGAGGCAAACTCAGCCTGCCGGACTCTGAGAAGCGGTTCGCCACCGCCCGTGGCAGCCGTGGGAAGGGAACCCGGACCTAGCAGGACAGTACGGGGAAGCGCTACATCTGCTGGAGTAGATCAACAACGCCCTCCTCTACCGCGCTCGAGGGATGAGCAGCCCCCAGCAGAGCCAAGACCCCGTGGTCGAGGCTCTGCGCGGGGAAGCTGAGATTAGTGAGCTGGCTCAGCAAAGAGCACAGAGCCAAACTGCAGCAAATGGCGCGCCACCGGCGCCAACCCCCGCCCCGGCACAGCAGGCGGGCGGTTCAAGGCACCCCTCCTGCAAAGCAATATGACAGAAGAAGTGCGGACAATGGGGGTCCGATTCCTCGGCATGCTGTGCAGCTGGACACAAGACTCCACAGCGGTTGCAAAGCTAGCGCGATGGGTGAAAGGCCAGAACGGCTTCGAGCTCTGGAAGTTCTTTGGCTGGAGCACAATCCAGAAAATGAGTCGAAGAACCTCACCTGGCGACGTACCCTACTCATGCCGCGGTTCCCTGCAAAGGAAAGCGAGTTCTCGCTCGCCCCGCAGGAATCGGAGGCGGACGTTGATAGGTACGCGCTAGAGTACGGCTCAGCTCGGGCATTAGCCGACGAGGACCTCCGTGCTGTTCTCGTTACGGAATCCCTTTCCGCACTCAGACAGCACTTGGCGATGCATGCTGCTTCCCTCACCACTTACTCAGAAGTGCGTGAGGTAGTGGTTTCGCACCTCCTATCAAAGTGAGTGTGGAGTCCCAGCGCGGGCGACGCCGCCGGGCCCACACGACGAAACCCAGAGGCAATGGACATCGAAACTGTCGGGGAAAAGGGGCCCAAAGGTGGCAAAGCCAACAAAAAGGAAAAGGAAGAGAACACAAGAAAGGGAAAGGAAACAACAACCAGGACCGCAAGGAGAGATGCCCTATCTGCTGGAAGACGGGGCATGCAGGCAAGGACTGCTGGTTCAACGCCACAGGGAAGAGCAAAGAAGCGAAGAGCCACGTCACCCAAGTGGCCGACGAGACGGCCAAAAAACGTCTCCACAGCCTCCCTGGCGACAGCGGGCCCCTCCACGTCCCAAGTTGCTGGCACCGGCGGCTCTGGCGGCAAAAGGCAGGTGCGCCAGGTGCGTGACGACCGCATTCTAGGGGTGCGGTTTGCACCGCCCAACGACACCGAACCAGAGGAAGAAAAAATCCTAAAGGTGTCGGGCGAGCTTCTTGTGGACTCGGGTGCCTGCGTCTCCGTGTGCAGGCCCGAAGCTTTTCCAGACCTGCAGCCAGCAGGCAAGCTCAGAGACCTTTACTCGGTGGACAGCAGCCGCCTTGCAACAAAAGGGCGGCATCCAGCCAAGCCTTCTCGCGGGGATCGACGCCGACATCCTCAGCATAAGCAAGGCAGTCGAAGCTGGAGGTGGGATCTGGCTGCAGAAGAGCGACGGCCACATCCTCTGGCCTGACAGGGTCCATCCTCAATCGAGGGTCACAGTACATCCTACCCTACGAGCGGGCTGTGCCGCCGGGGTCTCGCAACAAGGTTGCGGCAGTGGCCGCAGAGCGGGGCCACTACGACGACATCCCAGACCACGACCTCGAAGCCCGCTGGGTAGAAGATGCTGCGGCAGCGCAGCCGGACTCAGAAGAAGAAGCCGGCGAAGAGCGGAAAAACCGCGACACTCTAGAGGACCAGGCCGAGGCGCCAGGCACCGAGCCAAGGCCAATCCCAAGCCCAGCGTCGCCATTTGCGCGCGAGCGCGACACACGCTTTCTCACCCACCAGCCCTAGAAGGTGTGTTGTGAAAAATGTGTGGAGGGCAAGGGCGCGGAAAAAATCTGCACTTACAGCTGGCACCAGCGGAGGACCCCGCGGTCCTTCTTTTGACTCTGGACTACCGGTTCGACGGCAAAGAAGTGCCTGAGGAGTCTGCCTTTGCCACAGTGCTCAACCTGGCAGATGGATCCACAGGCTGGGGTTCTTTCAGTTCTCTTTGCCCACAAGGGCCACCGCCACGTGGGCTACACCGCAGGTTTGGTGGAACAGTTCCTGGACCGACTGGGGTACGACCAAGTCACCTTACAAAGCGACTAAGAGCGCGCAGTCCAAACTGTGGCCCATGCGGTGCACTGCCGGCTTGGAGCGAAAAGAGTGAAGCTGGAGAGACGCGCCCCGCGGTTCCCACCAAAGCCAAGGGTCCGTCGAGGGAAGAAATGCGCCCGCCGAAGGTCGCCACCAGACCGCGGTGACGCTGAAAGCCTGCGGTCTACCGCGGGACCCGCGATTCGGACGAGCAGCGCCCAGCGAGCGCAGCGAGATGATGGTCCCGGTTCCTCTTGCCACCGCTTCAGAGGAGCTGGTGCGGCGAGAGCCGCCCCGGGAGCCTTGGCTCTTCGAGGATGGCCCAAGGCCCGACGACGAGGCCTTGCTTATGGTGGATGGGCCTCAGCAAGCAAGCCGGCTCCCACACGCCAGTCTAACAGAGCTGGCGAACGCCGACCTCTCTGCTGACTACGCGCCGTCAGATGCGGAAACACAGCCTGCAGCAGCAAGCGCGCCGCCACCAGCCCTGGCCTCAACAGAGGGCCCAGGCGAAGGGGGGCAAAAGCCCGACTCAGCAGGTGGATCCGCGAGCGCAGCAGCATGGAGCGCAAACGCGCCACCACCGGTAGCAAAGAGCCGGGTGGAACCCAAGAAGGCACCCCGCCTCGGAAACCTCACCGGGCGAGAGGTGTGGCAGGCCATTGCTGCCTAAGCGGACCCACCGCTAGCCAACAAGAAAGGGCGAGCGTGAGGCGTGGATCGGTCAGGTGACCGACTCACTGGATCGCATGCTAAACCCCGCTCCGGTGGAACAAGCTCGCAAAGAGCAGCTGCGAAAGCTCGGGGTCCGAGGAGCTTTCACGCCGGTCCTCAGGTCGGAAGTGCCCAAGGGGGCGCAACTTTTCCGAGCAAAGTGGGTCGACAAATGCGACAACGGCAGGTACAAGTCACGCTGCACATGTGCCGACGCTAAGGCCCGGTACACGACAGAGCAAGAAGCTCAGATGAACGTTTTCGTGCCGATGCCCACGCCCGAAAGCGAGCGCTTTGCTAGAATTGGCCGCCCTCAACAGCGAGGGCTGGGTGACAAGGTCATTCGACATCGTGGAAGCATTCTCGATAGGAAAGGACCGCGGCACGTTTGAGGGACGCCCGGTCTACATGGTAGCGCCAAGTGGCGAGAC